AAACAGCCTCAAACGCTTGGAAAAATTCTGGGAGGGCCTGTACAGATTGGAGTATGGACAACTGCACATGTTAACCCAGAAAAGATCACAGCAGGGAACAGCGTGTAATCTGGGTATAACCTCTGAGTAACACTTGAGAACATGCAGATACAGATACACCATCAGGACAGTCCCTGTGTAGTTGTGGTTATTATGAAAATGGTAAAATGCAGCTGACAATGGAAATTTTCYATACAAAGCATATCCTATTACTTTATTTTAAACCCAAACGCATCTACGACATTCTATTCCTGGAAAAGAACAATCACAATGAATCCAAGAATATGGTGGAAATCCTTGAATTTCAACTCTGGTACTGCATTGCTTTACAAGCTCATTTGTTTTAAGAACCCACAATTAGAATCTGTATATTTTAAAGACACTTTTTAAAGTCCTTTAAGACTAACCGACCCATGTTTACAACTTGAACAAAAGACACAGCACAATATAGGTTTGAACTGTTTATTTCACATGTTTCATACCAGAGTTTCTTCAGTTAAAAGTTCCTAGAAGAAAATGAAATAAACATTGTTACAAATCTGTCTGCTTTAACAGCTCAAATAAGTATCTTTGACCAACTGTGTAATAATCTGTAAATACAATGTAGACATTGTCATCCTAAAAGCTGGATTTAGGAATGGAAGCTCTCCCTGCAAGAGTTAGAGGGTAAAACAAACATACATACTTGGAAACAATTCCATCATTTTTTGCCAGGCGCAAAATGGAGTCATCTGATTCACCCTGTAAAAAGAAAATAGAAAATATTCTGAAGTGTCCAAATAACTGCTGACACAAATGGAAGAGAGGCAGCTGCAGCAGTTAATGCAGATTAGTGTTTTAAAAATAAACTGTTAATTCTTGGTCATCCTTAAGGGTGAGAAATAGCTTTAACTGGATAAAAAATATGCATTTGTATTAACAACATATATTTATGGATAAGTGGACTAGTGATGAACTCACACCATTGTAAATCATGGTAGTATTATCTCAAGTAACAACAGATAAAAGTCAGGATTAGCACCTCGRTACATTCTTAAAACAACAAAAATCACTTGCATCCTTCACAAATTTTGAAAAAATATAAATATCTCCAGAAGAAATGGATTGTTTATTATCAATAAATGATTATTATTGATGAAGTTAAACTGAGGCCCTGGCACAGGTTGCCCAGAGAAGCTGTGGCTGTGTTCCAGGCCAGGCTGGGCAGGGCTTGGAGCACCCTGGGACAGTGGAAGCTGTCTCTGTCCATGGCAGGGAATGGAATAAGAGGAGCCTGAAGGCCCCTTCCCACCCAAACCTTTCTGTGATCCTATGAATTCATTCACATACTCACTCTGCCTTCATTATCTCCCAAAAACTTCCTGCTCTAGAACGAGCTGCAGGCATACTGTGTTTTCAGGGCCAAATACATCAGATGAACTAATAATGATCAGAAAAAGCAGCCCAGTAACTGTGGGAATTCTCAGGAAAGCACTCACCATTCTCCGGATTGGGCCGCAGATGGCGTAAGTCTTGAACTGGCCGTTCACTCTGCCTGTCACCTTGTCAACCTGCAAGCACAGCAAAGCTGCAGCACTAAGATTCTTACAAAGTTTTATGCTCTCACATCACACTGGCCAAGCACCAAAAAGGTAAAAATGGCAGAAAAATACTTGCAGTATTGAAAAAATAAACTACAAAATCTCAAGGCAAATACTGAAGTTAGAAAGTAAATGACAATGATCTTCGCACAGCAAATTTATAGTTTATTACATAGTGCAGCTATAAAATTTAGTGGATCACGGAGATTGACAAGAAATGCTAGGCATAAGAAAAAAAAATTGAGTGCTGAGCAAATGGAAAAACTCAGTGTAAAGCTGAKTTCTGGATTTTCCTGCCTTTACTATTTGTTTCTTTTAACTAAGGTCATGTCATGGAAAGCTGAACTGAAGGGGGAAGGGGACAGATTTGTTACATGGGTAGGAAAATGTCCAAGYTGAGAGACATAAATTGTCTCACTTTCTCCAGCTGCTGAGAAATTCAACAGGAAAAAAGACTAAACAATATAAATCATGAAACCTACCAGTGTAGTGAACCCTGTAATACCAGGTGGGTTTATTTCCATGTTCTGCTAATCTCTGACCCTTTGAAATAGGGATCACTGAAGGAATGAAATGTGACGAACAAGAAAAGTATTTGCCTTAACAATCATAGGAAACAACACAGGGCGTTTTTTTTTTAATATTTTTTTTTAATCAGATAACTCAAAAGAATCAGTTTTTTAAAAGATACAGGAATGTGGCCTTGTGGTCTCCTATTCAAGAACCAAATCAAGCTCAACATCTCATAAGCCACAGGAACATTGTGTCTACAAAATCCTTGAAAACTGAACTCTAATAAACAAACAGGAAGAAAACTCCAAACCATATCAAAAGGAGTTTAAGTTAACTGGGACCCACGTGAATTTACTGGGATCCTGCAGGAGTCAAGGTMTGTTGTGGTTTTCTTTACTAAGATGCATGACAAGCTATTAAATTCCGTAACTTTTATTAAAAGCTTAGAGGTTCAAGCCTCTCATCYCATATTCTGTTAATCAACTTACCTCAGAAATATTGATCTGAATGGAAGCATGATCCTTAGCACCAATGATTCGGTTGCTAGCAGAGCTAAGGAATAAAACAAGATACAKTTAAGCAAAAGGAGACAGGCAGAGAAAATGACAAAAAAAGCTATTAAACACAAGTTTACACAGCAATTAAAACTGCACAAGAAACTAAGACAGCAACAGTTTAGGCTTTCAGAATTTAGAAGATTAAAATGCAGTTGTAAGCATATTTAAAAGAAAATTTCACTTGGCAGCATCATGTGAAGTTGCTAACTATCCCTGGCCAGTGTAAGGCTGGCAGTTTTGGAACAGAAAGTGCAAGTATTCTCCTCAACTTAAGTCTTTGCTTCACATACTTTACATGAAGCACTTAAAAATACAAAAGCTGACAGAAAACTGGATTTCCCCATCCCTGCCCCCAGATACCTGCTGCTGCAAAAAGCCCTTTTGCACAGGCTGCACTGGCCTGGCCCCTCGGTCCCCACTCACCATTTCCGAGGGACATAAAGGTCCACGAACTCCCCGGCGTCGTTCTGCATCTCGTCCCAGTTCCTGCAGAGGCACTAAGCAGAAACACCTAAAAGAACTACAAAATATTGCGAGTTGGAAAGGACCCACAACGATGATAGAGTCCATCCCCTGGCCCTGCACAAACCCCCCAGAATTCCACCCTGAACCCGAGAGCGGTGTCCAAACATTCCTGGAGCTCTGCCAGGCTTGGGGCCATGACCATTCCCTGGGGAGCCTATTCACTGCCCCACACCCGCTGGGGGAAAAACCATCTCCCAACATCCAACCTAACCCTCCCTGACACAGCTCCAGCCCTTCCCTCAGGTCCTGTCGCTGCTCACAGACAGCAGAGCTGCCCGCAAAGTGAAATGATGTGGGAGCCCGGCCGGGCCCAGGGGCCGTGCCCTGCAGAGCCACCCCTTCATCGCTCCCGGAGCTCCGCCGCCATCGCCCCCGCTGTCCCCGGTCCCCCCATCGCTCCCTCGCCATCATCCCCGCTGTCCTCGGCCCCTCCATCGCTCCCATC